CATTTGGAGTAGAAAGGCCTTCAGAAAAGGTAATGTCTAAGATGAGGCCTAAGGGGTGAATAATAAATTAACTTTGTCCCTCCTGGACCTGGTGGCTTAAACTCATGTCAGGTGCCTGTGCGAGCGTGCCCAAAATCTCAAGAGGAGGATGGAGGAGAAGGGATTGCAGCATGGCCATCTCCACTGGTGGGTGATTTCTCGATTTCTATCTCTCCACAGGGGGGTGATTTCTTGATTTCTATTTCTCTGGTAAGCACACATGCCCTGTAGCAAAAATCTCTGTCTAAAAAAAGAAAGTATACCTAATAACTGTCTGTCACATATAAAGGGTCAATAGGTGTTTGATCCAGGCCAGCTGGTGGAATGGTGGTTGAGGCATCTGTATCCACATGACTGTCCACAAAGTTAGAATCCTGAACCAGTTGGCTTGAAAAATACACTTGGGGTGGGGGAGGGGGGGCAGCAGGTGGCATGGTGGTTAAGGGTGCTGGACTCCCACATGGCCAACTGCAGTTCAAGTCCCAGACCTGGTGGCTTGCTTTCTCACTTTCTCTCTCTCTCTTTCTCTCTCTCTCTCTCTCTTTCACTCTACCCCTCTCTGGTCAAATAAAAATAAATAAATAAATAAAGTTAAACAAAATAATTCTTAAGAAGAAAGAAAGAAAGAAAGAAAGAAAGAAAGAAAGAAAGAAAGAAAGAAAGAAAGAAAGAAAGAAGAAAGAAAGAAAGAAAGAAGGAAAAGAAAGAAAGAAAGAAGGAAAGAAAGAAAGAAAAACACACTGGGCACATGTGCATACCCCAAATCCCGCAAGGCAGGAGAAATGGAGGAGGAGGGGTTGTGGCATGAGATGGTACTTTCTCACTTCCTTCTCTCTCTCTGAGGAGCACACATGCCCTCTGGCAAATTTAAAAACAGTGTTTGATTCTTTTGTCCCTTTGAGATTGCACCAAGTTTCTTCTAGAAACAAAATTTACTTCTTTCCTTACAATAAAGGACTATATTTGGGACATTGGGGCAGAAACATTTCAAGGAGAGTAATTCTAGATTTCCTCTCTTTTTAAAAAAATTTATTTCTTTAGAGAGAGCAAGAGTAAGAATGAAAAAGAGAGAGAGATAGGCACCTTGACAGGATCTCATCATGCTGTGATCCTCTTCCCTACTCCTCCAGCTCATCGGGATCCTGAGTGCACACGTACCTGGACTGTTTCAGGTCGACCAGGAGTCTGGACCTGTAGGTAGCCATGTAACCTCTGGCACTGTGAGTCAGAGCTACTTTGCCCATCTCTGTAGCTGGACCTACTAGATTCCCTTTGAATAGAGGATTCCTGTATAAAAGTAACTTGTTAACTCCATGGGGGCTTCAGTTGAGCCTGCTGAATGGCATGCCCTCATCATGTCTGCAACACATCCTAATCCCCATTTGCTTGAGTCAGCACACTTTGCATGAACACCTCCACACACTAGACATGGTTAACCCCATTTCAAGGCAAGAACACTGAGGCAGTAAGAGGTGAAGTACACATTTGGCCTTTGATTGGCTGCAGACCATAGGTTCCTCCTCACTCTGCCTCCTGGAGAGGCCTGATGAATTTAGCAGCAATTAGCCCAGAATGTGTCTCTTCAATGTAAAAGCAAAACTGTTCTGAACTTTAGTGGCAACAGAAGCTGAGAACTGTTTCACAATAATAGAGAAAGACCCTTGAGGGTTTTTTCCTTAAAGCTAGATATGTTTTGAAGCTCAACCTCTGGCACTGACTTAACTGATTCAACCTCCTGTGGTAATTTGCAAGACAGCCAGCTTATAGTAAGTGGGCAGGGTGTCCCAGCCTGGGGAGTAGAGCAAGCCTTGGCAACTGCAGAACCAGAAGCCAGTGTTCTGGCTTTGGCCCTGTTTGTTTTGTTAGGTAGAGGTGATGACATAGGAAGAAAACCCCAATATTGGTTCGTTGGAGTTCCTTAACTACTTAAAATACAGCCATGCCAATGCATTCTAGCCTACCAATAGGCTAGAATTGGGGGGTTAGTTGTTACAATATGATTACTTCTTTCCCAACCAAGATCTTCTGAAAAAGAAAACGAGGTAGGCATTTGGTCGTATCCATCAACATTAAAATGTGGCCAGGAAAACTAGCAGCAAGGCAACACTGTGCTTGTCTGACCCAAATGGAGAGATTCCCAGTTTGTGTTTAGAGACCGCACTGAACACACCAGGCACAAACATGCCCGTGACCCAGGCTAGCTAAGGCGGGGGTGGATCACAATATTGAGATCCTGGTGGGGGTGCCTCTCTCTCTGTCTCTGTCTCTCACTCATGGAAGAAAGAAAGAACTAAAAAAAGGAAGATATCTTTTACGAGGCTCGATTTCTGAGACATGTTGGGTGAAAAAACTCAAGTTGTATAACATGTACAGAATAATATTTTTTGAATAAAAATATTTGGCAAAATCAGCTCACAAAATGGCACTCCATAGTTCTTCTTTCTTTCTTTTTTTTTGAGAGATTTTTGCTCTAGGGCACACATGCTTTCTGAAGAGAGATAGAGAGAGATAGAGTGAGAAATCACCCCCGGGGGATGGTCACATCACAACACCTTCTCATACATTCTCCTCTCAGGATTTTGGGCAAGCACACATTCATGCACGGTATGAGTTTCAAGCCGCTGGGTCCAGGACTCAAACCGTGGTCAACCATGTGGGAGTCCAGACCCTTAACCACTATTCCATCTGCTGGCCCCGATACTCTATATTTCTATGGAGACATAGGTGTGTACGTAATACAAAGAAACAGGCTTTAAAGGATTGGAATGCCAGACCCAAAATGAAAAAAATAACAGACAGGTAACAGTGTATACATTTAGATAAAGGGAGAGAAAGTTGAGAGGAAGGTGGTCAAAAGGGATTTGAGCTTCATCTCTAATATTTTAAGGTTTTATTTGAAAGGAGAATATATTTGCATATCACTTCTATAATTCAAAATTACTTTTTAAAAAGATAGACTAGAAGTGGAAATACTGTAATTGAGAGTGGTGAGCTGTAAAGTTGTCTTCTGCCCTCCTGGAGGGGATTCTGTTTCTCTGTCCCGGCAGTATCAGGTGTGTCATGTGACTGCTCTGGCCAATGAAAGGTGAGCAAAAACGATGAGTGTCACTTCTGAACAAAAGACTGGTGAGACAATGTGTGTTTTGCCATGCTTTTTCCTCTCTGCCATGTCAAAAATCTGGAGATATTTCAAACAGTGCCTGCTTCCTGGGCCTGGTCCTGGAGCAGACAAATGTGGAGCAGAGCCTCGCTTGACCAGTGAGGGCCACATAACTTGTAATGTAAACAAGAAGTACCCTTTAGCTGTCTAAGCCACTGAGACTATGGGGCCTTTTGCCATTGCTGCAAAGTCTGACCTATGGGAGCCTAAGCGAACCCAGAGAGGGGGACAGAGCAAGCGGTTTGGGGCGGAGTGGAGGGGACAAGAAGACAAGGTTTGTCAGAAAGGCAGTGTGGTCTCGGGTGAGAGATATCTGATGCAGAACTTAAAGAGAAGGGAGGTCAAAACATAGAGACAAGTTTTGCTCATGGTTTAGCTTCGCCCCAGGACCTCATCTTAATTGCCTACTGACCAAAGAAAGAGGTTTGCATGCAAACCTCTATCAGATGGCAGGTACTCTGAGCTAACTAGTAGATCTTTTTAGGGAAGTCCCGAGGATTTATGGAGAAACATTTCCAGAGCATCTGGGCTTAAAGGAATGTGTGGGCCAGTGTCCCCTGAGCAGTGTCAGTTAAGCATCTCGGCTGTGCATTTCCAGAGGACTCTAGTTTTCAATTCCAAGGTCACTCAGAAAATAAAGAAAACCAGACAGGAACAATATTTGACTTTATCAGCCTGACTCAGATCAGACAGTAGCTGAGAACTAGCTGGATCAGAAACAACTCAGGATCATATGGCTCGTTTTAATCCTGGGCGGTAGGAGAGAAAGGAGCTGCAGTTCTGGATAATGGGCCATGGGGCACCGGCAGAGAGGGTCATCCTCAGGCAGATCAGGGTTGCAATGCTCAGTGTGGACCAACCACATGGCCTTGGGCAACTTACTTAATCATCTGGCTTTGAGCTCAGTTGGAGACAGGAAACAGTGGCATTGGTCTTTCTGAGCCTCAGCTTTCTCAGCTGTAAACGGATTAAGAATACTCACTATGTAGGTTTCATTAGGCTCCACTACGCAGGAACTTCAGTTCCTTGGGGAAATAGTCTTTCCTCTCCTTTGCCCAGTCCGAGCACCACTCCCTCCTCCCCTCTAGCTCGTTTTTGTTGTTGTTGTTGTTTTTCCCATAGGGCTCATGCACTCACCGAAGACAGAGCGAGAGCGAGAGCGAGAAAGAGGAATCTTTCTTTAGGGGATGACCACCCTGCAATCCCTTCTCCGTTTCTTCTCTTGGGATTTTGGACAAGCACACACACCCAATGTGTGATTCCTTTTTTAATTCTACTCTCACAGATAGCCACTGAAATGTTCCCAGCAGTAAACACAGGCAGAAATGCCCACCCGATCCCATCCCCCGCCTCCACTCGCAGGCCTGTCCTTCAGACATCAGAAACAAGATTTGTGTACTTCGAGAACCTGCAGAGCGAGAAAGAGGAATCTTTCTTTAGGGGATGACCACCCTGCAATCCCTTCTCCGTTTCTTCTCTTGGGATTTTGGACAAGCACACACACCCAATGTGTTTTTTGATCTGCTGACTCACTCTCACAGATAGCCACTGAAATGTTCCCAGCAGTAAACACAGGCAGAAATGCCCACCCGATCCCATCCCCCGCCTCCACTCGCAGGCCTGTCCTTCAGACATCAGAAACAAGATTTGTGTACTTCGAGAACCTGCACCACGAAGGAGACAGCAACCTCTACCCTCTCCCTCGCCTCTCCCAGCATTGCCTAACTCATCAACCAAGGTCCCCACAGAGAACTGTGTGATGGTAGAACACACTCAGAGCCCCAGCAGGAAAGAAGGGTGGTCACAACTTCTTTATAAAATGGGTCATTGCATTCAAAATTCTCGTGGAGCAGGGGAAGTAAAAGCAGCCCATGTCGAGGGTGGTGAGCGCCCCGTGAAAACCATCCTCTATGTGATGCCAAGTCACGGGCACCCCCAGGTCCTCTAGCCTCTTCTTGTACAGCAGCGAATGGTCCCGGAAAAAGTCATGTTCACAGCTCACGATGCAAGCTTCTGGGTACTGAGACATTATGTTGTCTTCGATAAGCAGGGGTGAGTAAGTGCTATTCAGAATACTTCTTGTCTCCAGGTAAACATCTTCATTCAGGGGTGCATGGGCAACAGGTCGGTAGCTTTTCTTAAACCTCTCTGGGATGTTTTCTGGATCCAACCACTTTTTATACTTTGCCCAGACTTCAGCAGGCAAGTGGGCACCTTTCATGATGGCATTTTTCCAGGAAGGGCTGATATCCAGGAGACAACACACACAGTAGAAAACAAACTCACTAGAGAGCAGTGGGACATTCTGGTTCTGCTGACAGGAAGGGAGTTGGAAATCCAGGCTCTGGAGAACAGCATAGACCAGAATGTGAGCACGGATTCGGGGGAGATTCGGAGTGTTCATCAGTCTTTCACAAATCATCGCTGCTGCTGTCCCCCCTAGGCTGTCACCACAGACCACCACACGGTCTGGATCCACTCCATATGTATCCAGGGACCTCAGGAAATGGATGGTGGCCACTATGCAGTCTCTCTTGATCGTCGAAACCCCATGCATGGGTAACTGTCGGTACCTAAGAAGGAATCAAGGGACACAGTTTACACCCATCACTCCAGCAGAGTCAAAAATATCTGCACTGAGCATTGTTTGGCCCAAACTCCTTTCACTGGGCCAACCAGTGGCATAGTGATGAAGGCAGCTGAATCTCACATGGCTGACTACAGGGTTCAAGTCCAAGACCTGGCGGCTACAAGGACATGCAGGGCAAGTGTTCATACATGCCCAACAACCCAAAAGGAGAAATGGAGGGCAGGGTGTGGTGGTATGATCATCCCTCACAGAGTCAGTGCTTTCTTAGTTTCTTTCTCTTTCTCACTCTCTGGTGGACATGTGTCACAAATGAAGACCAAAATAAAAATAAAACCCTTCCATTTACATCCCTTTCTGACACCTGAGCAAATGAAGCTAAGCGTGAACTTGATGAGATGATAAAATGAGGCCTCCACACCTGGCATGGAGACTCAGCAGAGAGCGGTTGCCATTGCTGCTGCCTCAGTGTCCTGTTTGGGGACCAGCTGTGACCGCAGACAGCCACCTACTGGTCCACAACTTAGACAGCACCAGCGCTGGCTCCCTGTTTCTTAACCTATCTGATGAGCTTCCTGACTACAGCATCTCCTGGCTTTCTAGTTCATAAGCGACTGCAGGTCAGCTCGGGTTTGGAGTCTAATCAACCCTGCCATGCCCCCGGCCTTTGTGGAGGGGTCTTGTAGCCCATAGGCCAGCAAGATAACATGCAGGGGGTCTCCAAATGGCCACATCTGCTCCAGACTATGTTTTTTTTTTTTTTTTTTTTTGGAGAGGTTTTTGCTATAGGGCGCGTGCGCTAGCCAGACAGACAGAGAGAGACAGAGAGACAGAAAGTGAGAAATCACCCCCCAGGGGGGATGGTCACGCCGCAATCCCTTCTCCTCCATTCTCCTCTCGGGATCTTGGGCACACACACGCACGTGCCCTGTGTGGGTTTAAGCCACCGGGTCTGGGACTCAAACCACGGTTGGCTACATGGGAGTCCAGCGACATAGCCATTACGCTAACTGCTGATCTCTCCACTGATAATCACCTGATTCAAAATGGTAAAGCATGCAGTGCCCACGACTGGATCGAGATCTCCATCTCACTATTGAAATCATTTGGGAGCCGAGCACCGGAAGTAGAGTTTGTTCCAGTCTCTCTCGTCTTTATTTTCACCTCGTTATTTACATCTTCCTCAAGTGACTGAGCCACAAGAACTCTGGGCAGCAGAGTCCACCAAGGTGCTGGCAGTCGACATGTCTTATGGCATTCACACTTAAATGGAGCTACCTGGAAAGCCGAATTAGGAGGAAATGCCCTGCACGGTGACATCAGTGCAGCTGGGCAGGAGGCCCAGGGAGGGACCACCCCACGTCTCCCCCCGAATGCTGAGCCAAACCCTCTTTGAGGTGCCAGGTTGGGTGGGTGACGCTCAGAGACCAATGAGGAGAAAGAGCAGGTTTTATATTTTTCTCGCTTTCCTGGGTGGGTCTCAACCAGGGGGAACGTCCCTCTTGAGAACACCTGGGAACGGAGGTGGCAGCATTTGGGGTTGTCTTGGTGATGTGCAGGGCATCCGTGGCATTTAGCAGAGGGAGGTGCTCGATGGCCAGAATGCACAGGGCTGTCTTGCTCAACGAAGAGAGAAGAGCTTGTCCACCCAAGTGTTCCTAGAGTGAGACCCTGCTCTCAATTGTGTAACAAAGACCACTTCCCGTGCAGTTTCAAACAATAGGGAGCATGGAAGCACTATTTAAACATACTCAAGGGCCACACTCATGAGAAAGGAGATCCCAGTCCTCACCCTGCTCTGTCTCTCCAGCTCTCTTCTCTCTCACCTTGGCTCTCCTCCTCACTGGCCTCCCACAGTCTCCCTTTTCTGGTCTTCCTCCAACACCATCTGCTCCCCCATCTCTACTTCCCACTCCATCACGGCGAGTCAGAACCTGGCATCCTGGTGTCTCCCCCATTCTCCCCTTTACTTACCCAACAGCCAGAACCACTGAATCACTCTCCTTGCACAAACGAGTGAATATGGCATGGTGGGTTTCTAGAAAATAAAAGGGTTTTACATTCACTAGGAAGGCTATAGATTTCCTTTGCCGGCCGCCATCGCTGTCCTCCGCTGACTGGCACTCTGTCTAGGTTTTGCAAATGTTCTTCCAGAGGCCAAGCAGATTTCCTCTCAGCCCTCTCGCTGTTTCTCTGCCAAGGTGCTGCTAAACTCCCTTCTCTTAGAGACCCACCCCTGATGGATTCTACAATTCGGTAAAAATAGCTAAGAAGCTACTGCAGAGCACACGGGCTTAGGGTACAATCTCTGGATTCTGACAGACCTGAGTTCAGATCCTAGCTTTGCCTCTTTTTAGCTTGAACTAAAATAGTGCCCCACAAACCCCTTATCTTGTCTGTGTCTTGATTTTTCATTTGTAAAATGAAAGTAATAATATCTGCCTTATGTAGATATTAGAGGCTTCAATGAGATAATACACATACAGGGTTTCCACAGTGCCTGCCATGGTAAAAGTAATTTTAATAGATATTGGCTGTCACTATCATTCATCAAACAGCCCAAACTGAAACCACGGGTGTACGGAATCCCTTATTCTCAAAGCTACTAAGCAAGACCCTGGCATTCCGCAGCTGATAAAGCTCCACTTCAATCGATATTAATAAAGGTGTTTCTCCCCCTAGTTCATAGGGTGGAAATGAAGATATTAAAATGGTCTTAACTGGTAGTTTATTCTTTCATTAATTTTCTTCAAATCTTTGGTCTTACTGTTTGTACCAGACTTTGTCTCAGGCAAACCAAAATGACGTGTTTTAGTTATTTTCATGTAAAATATCTTTATATCGAACCAAATGGAGTTGCCAGTTACATAACGTGCTAAAAGCTACTGAATGCCACTTTAAAATGGTTAATTTTGGAGCCATCAGATGGCATAGTGGCTACATCACTGGACTCCCACATGGCCGACCACAGTTCAAGTCCCAGACCCCGATGGCTTCAAATTCACACCAGGCGTGTGTATGTGCATGTCCAAGATCCTGGGAAGAGAATGGAGGAGAAGGGATTGCAGCATGGCCACCCTCTGGGGGTGGGGGGGAGGGAATTTCTCACTTTCTCTCTGACTATCTCTGTCTCTCTACAGTGAGTGAACACACCCTAAGGCAAAAACCTCTATAAATAAATAAAATGGTTAATTTTTATGGCATGTGAATTGTAGCTCAATAAATATATACATCTCTTTATTTCCAGAAAGAGCAATACATTCCATATCTCTGGCACCTGAATGATCTAGCTGTCCTGGTGTTCACTGGTCATCATAGCGGATTTTTAAGTCTAGAGTAGACAACCATTCTGTTAAGTCGAACGTCAGCACCCCAAGAAAGTCCAAGGAAAAGCAAGGCTCTTACTCAAGCTCCCTATGACTCCTCCGCCACCATGGTAGAACACGATGCCAGGCCTGGGGGTACAGGTGGGTGCCTTGGGCCAGTACAGCTTCACAGGGATTGACCCAAAGCGAAGATCTGTGAACATCACATCTGGATCCTTTTTCAACGGTTTCAGGTCATGTATGAAACGGACAAACTGGCACATGGAACAGATTCTCAGTTTTTCAAAAATATAGCCCTGTTAAGAGAAGAAACGGGTTAGGAAGGGTTTCTCCACAGGCCATGTTATGGTTTGAATGGATCCTTCCAAAATTCATGTGTTGAAATTTGATCACTTTTGAACCCAGCTGGTGGTGTAGTGGTTACAGTGTTGGACTGCCACATGGTTGATTGCAGTTCAAGTCCCAGATCTGGTGACTCAAAACTCATGCCAGGCATGTGCATGCATGCCCAAAATCCTAAGAGGAGGATGGAGGAGAAAGGGCTGCTGTGTAGTTATACCCCCTGGGGAGTGATTTCTCGCTTTCTGTCTCTCTGTCTGTCTCTCCAGGAAGCACACATGCCCTATTGCAAAAATCTCTCCAAAAAAGAAATGTATAAAAGAAATTTGATTGGAGACCAGCAGTTAGTGTAATGTTTATGTTTCTAGATTCCCATGTAGTCAACTGCGGTTCAAGTCCTGGACCCGGTGGCTTAAACTCATGCTGGGCATGTGTGTGTGTGCCCAAGATCCCAAGAGGAGAATGGGAGAGAAGTGATTGCAGCTTGGCCATCCCCCCAAGGGGTGATTTCTTGCTTTCTGTCTCTCTGTCCTTCTGGTGGTGTCCCCCCCTCTATAGCAAAAACCTCTCCAAAAAAAAAAAAATTTCTTTGATTGCTCTGGTAATGGTGTTAAGAGGATAGAAACTTGGGAACAGAGGTGACATAGTAGTTGTGCTGCTGGACTCCCACGTAGTTGATCACATTTTGAGTCCCAGACCTAGCAGCTTAAAACTCACGCCAGGCACGTGTGTGTGTGTGCCCCAAATCCTGAGAGGAGAAGGGATTGCCATGTGGCCCTCCCACAGGGGGGTGATTTCTCACCTTTGTCTCTCTGTCTCTCTCTCTCTCTCTCTGGTAAGTGCACACTGCCTATAACAAAAATCCCTTTTAAAAAAAGAGGATAGAAACAATCCGGCTGTGGTATTGGGGGGGAGGGGGCTTGGAGGCAGTTAGGATTAGATTAGGTCATCAGGGTGGGGCCCCCATAACCAAATAATGATGGCTTTATGTGAAGAGGGAGAGAGGGGGCCAGGTGGTGGTATGATGATAACATAGCTGGGCCCACGGGGGCCTGAGTTCACATCCTGAGAGGAGCACAGAAGGCACATGGACACACCTATGACTCAGGCTGGCTAAGACTGGGGGTTATAGCCTGGGGACCCTGTTTGAGATCTCTCAATCTCTCTCTCTCTACTTTCTATGAAAAAGAGAAATATAATTAAAAAGAAGAAGGAAGAGGAGAAAGAGAGAGACAAGAGGGGCTGGCAGGCGGCGTGGTGGTTAAGGGTGCTGGACTCCCTCATGGCCAACCGTGGTTTGAGTCCCAGACCTGTCTTTTTCAGGGGAGGCCTCCCTGGGTCACCCCAGCCAAACGCATGTTGCTGACTGTATGGTGGCTAAGCACAAGCACACACACACACACACACACACACACTGTTTTTTGTTATAGAGTGTGTGACCTCATCAGAGAGAGAGACAGAGACAGAGAGAAGGAAAGTGAGAACTCACTCCTCAGAGGGCGATGGCCATCCCTTCTCCTCCATTCTCAACTTGAGATTTTGGACATGTATGCACATGTGCCCGGTGTATTTTCCAAGCCACTAGATCAAGGACTTGAAGCGCAGAATCAGCCATGTGGGATCCAACTGCCTTAACCACTGTGCCACCTGTTGATCCTAAGGTTTGCGTTTTTTAAAAAAATGTGAGTGGGGGCGGAATGTGAGGGCACAGGTGAAAGGAGACTGACCAGGAGTCAGCGATGTTAGGGCTGGCTGTGGGTACCTGGGGCTCCTTCATTATTATCCTTTGCCTTCTTTTGGCATTTGTCTAAAAAGTCTGCATAATAAAAGTAAACAAACATGGCCAGCAGTGGTGGTATAGTGCTTAAGGTGCTGGATCCCACATGGCTGACTTCATGGTTCTAGTCCCGGACCCAGTGGCTTGAAAATCATTCTGGGTACATGTGCGTGAGTGCCCAAAATCTTGAGAGGAGAATGGGGGCAGGAGGAATGATGTCTCATTTTCCCTCTCTCTCTGTGTCTGTTTCTCTCCAGCAAGCTCACGTACTCAATTGCAAAAATCTAAAAAAAAAAAAAAAAAAGTAGCCGAACATATAAAGCAGGCTCTCTGAGTACTCTCCTCTCCTGGTTCCTAAACCTTTACTGCGTGACAGCCAACTTGATCACTGGTGAAGCCTGTGGACCTTTGTCTTGGGCCATTTCTGAATACAAAACATACATGGAATTATAAAGGAAGGCGATTTTACTTAAACGTGGTTATCAAAATATTAAAGTAAATATATGATGTGATAATTTAGTCCTTCCTCATTCACCCATTGAGTAGCAAGATCCAGCTGTCAGTCAAAACTAGCCTCATTTCAAAGAAATGAGGGGACTAGCAGTTAGCATAATGGCTATGTGCCTGGACTCCCATGTAGCTGACCACAGTTCGAGTCCCAGACCCGGCAGCTTAAACTCATGCCAGGCGCATGTACGTGCCTGCCCAAGATCCTGAGAGGAGAATGGAGGAGAAGGGATTGCGGTGCCCGTGGCCATCCCCCCTGGGGGGTGATTTCTCTCTTTCAATCTCTCTTTGTCTTTCTGGCGAGCATTTGTGCCCTGTAGCAAAAACCTCTCCAAAAAAGAAAAAAAAAAAAAAAAAAGAAATGAGCAGAAGCGTGATTTTTCACACTGCTGTAAAAGATCTGTGATTCTTCTTAGTGACCAAGTCATAGTCCTGACAAGAGACACTGTGGTTTATTACTCTCTCCATAATGGTAGGGCATGTTACACTTCAATGCTAAGATTGTAGCAAACACAGGGTCAATTCCACCCTGTTCAAACTCCTGGGTCCCTTACATTCCATCACCCTGTGGGCTCAGTGCCCCCAGGGGTGGGAGCCTTGCCCACACCCCTGTCCTGCTTGCCGTATAGCACTTGTCACTCTGTGAAGCTCCTTTTGTACAGATTTTTTTTTTTTGCTTTGTTTTGTTTTGTTTTGTTTTTGCACGGGTACTCACCAGAGGGAGAGAGAAAGTGAGAAATAAACCCTCCTCCCCAGGGGGATATGGCCACACCACAATTCTTTCTTCTCTTGGGATCTTGGGCATGGACACACAGATGCCCAGTGTGTTTTTCAAACCATCAAGTCTGAAACTGGAACCACACAGGTGGCCATGTAGGATCCAATACCTTACCCCCCACACCACTGGCTAGCCCATATTTGTAGGGGTGTGTGTGTGTGTGTGTGTGTGTGTGTGTGTGTGTAAGTTTGTTATAGGGCATGTGCACTCGAGAGCAGAGAGACAGAAAGAGGAAAAGTGAGAAATCATACTCCCCCGAGGGGTGGTCATGCCCCAATCCCTTCTCCTCCATTCTCTCAGGATCTTGGGTGTGCATGCCCATGTACTCAGCATTTTTTTTTTTTTTTGAGCCAGTGGGTCCAGGACTCTAACCACAGAGTCGACTATGTGAGAGTCCAGTGCCATAACCATGCCACAAGCTGACCCCATATTTGCAGCTTTAAAAAAATGTATTATTATTTTTTAATTTGCGCTCACCAGAGAGAGAGACAGAGGGAAAGTGAGAAAGCCAGCTGCCAGGTCCAGGATTTGAACCATGGTTGGCATATGGGAATCCAGTGCCCTAACCATCATGCCACTTGCTGACTCCATATTTGCAGCTTTTTTACTTTTGTGTTTGCTAGCTCATTGGCCATGTCCCCACCCCTCTGGCATGACACTATGCAGTCCCTGCAGGCAGACCCCGTCCAGGACTTTCTCTTGCCCATCATTGAACCTGACGTCTAACACTAGTGCATGACACGGGCAACTGCATGACACGGGCAGCTGCATGACACGTCTTTGCAGAAAAACATCAGCTCAGCGCACGGTCGCAATGGCTAATATTGATGGGGGCTCACTCTGGGTCAGGCATTGTATGACACCCTTGCCATGGCTTAGCCCGGAATCCCCACAACACCAACAAGTAGGGGCTATTATATTTTTCCTTCTGCAGATGAAAAACTGAGTCACTGTATGTGGCAACCCAGGCTATAGATAGCCCATGAGAGTCAAAGCCAGAAAAACCATGGGGCCTAATCACTGCATCTTATAAAAACAGATCCCAGAGCTGAAAAGTTTATGACCCCTGGACACTTCTTCAGCAAAGGTTTCACCTTAAAAGAGGCACCTGCAATTGCTTTCTGTTATATAAGAAATTAAAGCAAAATATTTTCTATTGGTACATGCAGTAATATTGGCAACATATCGGCAATACCCGCCTGATTCTCACCATGATCGATTTACATGTAATTTTTTTGGAGAGATTTTTGCTATAGAGTGTGTGTGCTCACCAGAGAGACAGAGAAAGAGACAGAGAGACAGAAAGCAAGAAATCACACCTCAGGGGGAATGGCCACACTGCAATCCCTTCTCCTCCAGTCACCTCTTGGGATTTTGGGCACACACACACACGCACCTGGCGTGAGTTTTAAGCCACCGGGTCTGGGACTCTAACTGCAGTTGACTACATGAGAGTCCAGCAATGTAACCATTATGCCATCTGCTGGTCCCGATTTACATATATTTTAATAAATTACACGCACCAGGGACAAAAGCAGACTCAGGCCATGTTCTACAAGCAATTTTCTCTTGCTAAAAAATAACGAAATCTATTTTTAGGTTTGCTTGTCTGTGCTTGTTTACCACTTAGCTACCTGTTCTTTTGTGTTTTACTGGTGCTAACTAGCAGGTAGGTGGTACACTGGGCCCAAGACCTAGGAGAACTCATTTCTGTCTTCATACAGTGGTGGGTTCTGTGTAGAAAGACAGACAGAAGATAGGGCAGGGCTTCTTACTTAACTGAGAAAATGAAACATTCTTCAAATTTTTGGATAGTAGCCTACTCCAGCTTCAGAAACACCAGAAGAAGCTGAGAATCACCCAATAGCAATGATCGGGGTTTGAGAATGTGCCCTGAATTCACTCAGGAGCTTCCGGCATGTGACTTTCCCAACTCCCTTCTTAACTCTCACCCAGAGGAGACAAAGCACAAAACTCACCCATGTCTCGATGAGCTGGAACAGGCAATGGAGGACCCTCAGTCTCATGGGGTGGCTGACAGCTGCAGGAATGGCCACAGTCAAAATATTATTGCAAATCACCCACAGTCCGACTCCCATTGAGAACACCCCGGCTGCCAGGAGGAGCAGCAGGAGCAGGGGCAGGAACAGAAGCAGGATCACCATCCTGTTTCTAAATCAAAGGAGTCCGAGTGGAACCCCGTCATAATGTTGGCCATTTAAGACATGGCCTAAGGTCAGGAGGCCTCTTTCAGCTGCCCTCATTAGCCCAGTGAGTCACAGATTCAGGTGAGATATGAAAGGGCCCATGCAAGAAGAGGGCCTTGGGCAAGCCATCAGGTTACCATGGACACCATGATTGTCCCCACCTGCCCTTGGACCACACCCTAACCCTGTACTTCAACTCTGGACACACTTTTTACTCCTTTGCCTGCTGAGGAGGCCCCAGGGCCTTTGCACTTGCTGTTCTTTGTGCAACATTTCCCCTAGACATCAGGTGGGACTGGGCTCCATCCTTCCCCTCCTGTGGGTCTCTGCTTAAATGTCAACTTCTCAGCGAGGCCGCTTCTGGCCATCTTATTTAAAATTGTAACTCCCCATCAGCATTCCGGTGTCCACACACCACCCCACATACCGCTCACCTGAGTTAACGCGCACCTCGCTGCTTGTTCCTTATCTGTAAAAAATAACCTCTATGAGCACAGGAATTTTTGTTATGTATTGTTTTATCCCCAAGGCTGAATCAGGGTTTGGAACTTTGTCAGTGCCCTGCAAATGTTTATCAGATGAAGAAATGAACAAACAGCCACCTCCTTTGGAAAGCAGGAGAAATTGAGCTTTCTTGCTTTTCCAGGTTGGGACAGGGGTGGATGTCATTGTTTGCAATCTTCCCTAACAGCAAGACCTTACATCAGCCACAGCAATGATAATGCCTGCCATGTCCCCGCCTCCCACGCTGGCAGTGGAGCAGTGGTTTTCAAACAGAGGAGATTTTACACCCCAGGAGCTGTCTGGGGTGTCAGTAAATGTCCTACAAAGCACAGGTCAGTCCCACAGCAAACAGTTATCCAGCTCATCATTCCAAGGTTGAGAAACCCTGAGTTACGCCTGGGTTTGATGCTGGCTCTGCCAAATGCTGACATGTTGATCGTGAGAAAGTTACGCATGCTCTCTAAGTCTGTTTCCAAATGTGTAGGATGAGGATAATAATAACAGTACCCACCCACCATGGGGTTGTTGGGTGTGTCGAAGGCACCAGTGCATGGGCTCAGTCATAGTGGGGTCAGGTTGTGAGGCAGGGGTTGCTGCTGCTGTAGCCATATAGGCAAGCCTCAGGTTTGGATCCCAGTTCTACCAGAACACGCAAGGTGCACTTGTCACCCTGACCCACTGGAGGGCTGGAGTGAGGGTTGTAGCAGGTGAGACCCTGTCAAGGGTACCTGCCTGCCTGCCTGTATCTCTGTATAAATAAACTAATTAATTAATTAATTTTTAAAAAACAAGGCCCTTGTTTACACGAAGCACTAGCAAGAGTCCAGCTCTTGGAAACACTGGGCAGGTATCAGGGAGCAAGGCTAAGCCGTTTCTCCACATTCTCCACTCCCCTTCAATTCCCTCATGGGCACACAGAAGGTGTGCTAGCCCTTGCTGCAGCTGGTGGGGCACCTGGTCCCTTCTGTCCACTGCGATGTGGAGTGTCACATGCTCTCCTCCTCTGGAAGAGAAGGACTCCTGTGGGTTGAGCCTCACTGAGGCAGACCCAGGATCCCTTGGAGGTGTGCCACGGATAGGCCTGGCCAGGAGCATCTGTGTGAGCCGCCACAAGATCAAGCTCTGTAGGCTTTTAATATAAAGCTGCCAAGACGAGGCTTGTCTAAAAGGCTAACCTGCTGTGTCCCCTGCTTCCTGCTCTGGCAGTGGAATGGTGGTTTTCAAACAGGCAAGACTGATTGATATTGCTATGAAGGCAGCCCAGAGACTTTGAAGGAAGTCTGCAACATCAAGGTCTAACTTCAGTTGAATTCTGCATAACACTTTCTTATGTCTTTTTGCTTTTATTTTTTCTGTATGCAGTACAGAGCTCTGTCCCAGTCAAGATGCCAGTTCAGACACTCGAGCTATGCAATCCCACCATGGTTGGAAAGGAACAACGCAGTGAAAAGAGCACAGACCACAAGTCAGACTCCTGGGAACCCTTGCCACTTCTGCCCTCAGACTGGCGCAAGGACGGAAGCATTCACTCCCCCACTCTCTGCTTTCAGTTTCTTTATCTGTAAAATGAAGCCAAGGTCCTTGCTCTGTGCCTGGTGCCGTGCCAACCCTTTTGCACGTGTTCACATGTTTAGTTCTCCCCCCAACCCTTTAGGCAGACCCTATTCTCATACCCATTTTAGGGGTGAGCAAACTGAGCCTCATCTGATCAAGCAGCTTCCCAGGTTTAGAAAAAGCCTAAGTGGAAATGACCTCACATCCAAGCAAGTCTTCTCTTGTGCTCCTTATTTTGCGTAATGCCAGAATTTCAAGTAATAAAGAAAATCATCATCTCTGAAAACATACACTGTTGACGTGCCTGCCACTCAGGTCCTAGGAGAGCTTGACTGGGTAGGAACTCCAGCTCAGGGCACACAGGCACACGGGTCACAGACCTGCATGGGACTAAGGTTGGTCTTATGACAATGGATTGATTCTTTATTGATTTTTAAAACATTCTTCTGAAAAATTACCCAAGTAATAGATGTTCATTTTTTTGAAATCTTACTCATAATCAAAAATGCACACAGAGAGGCCAGCAAATGGTGTGGTGGTTAAGGATGCTGGACTCTCACATGGCTGACCGCAGTTCAAGTCCTGGGCCTAGTAGCTTGATTTCTCACTTTCTCTCTTTCTCTCCCTCTCTTGCTCTACCCTTCTCTAGTCAAATTAAAATAAATAAATAAATAAAGTTAAATAAAATAATTTATTTTTAAAAAAATGAAAATGCACATAGAAGAACAGCAAGTGACATAGTGGTTAAGACACTGGATCCTATATGATCTACCTCGTGGTTCAAGTCCTGGACCCAGTGGCTTGAAAAACATGCCAGTCATGCATGCATACATGCCAGTCATGCATGCATACATGCCCCAAATTCTGTGAGGATAATGCAGGAGAGAGATTCCAGTGTGGCCGTCCCCCAGAGGGTGATTTCTCACTTTCCCTCTCGCTGTCTTTTTCTGTCTCTCTCCACCAAGTGAACATACCCCATGGCCAAATCCTTAAATAAAGAGAGAGAGAGAGGGAGAGAGAAAGAGAGAGAAAAGGTATATAGACATGACATGCATGAGAGGTAAGGGTACCCTTGACAAGGTTTGACCAAGCCATGATCTCCCTTGCCCTGTTGGTCTGGGTCTTGGGTACACATTGCAGGCCCAGTATGATTTCAAATCAGCCTGTGGATCCAAACCCACCGCAACCATGTGGCCTCCAGGGCTGCAGTTCACTTTGCTACCGACTATTCCATCAGGCTGGGCCAAACTGTTCATTTGTGTATCACAGCCCTGAAGCTTAAGCTGCAGGGTCCCTCACCTGCAGTATAAAGCTCTTTCGAGCATTTAAATCCTGCTTTTTGTGTGTTTGGGCTATTCATAGTACAATGTTCACCTTTACAGAATCTGTAATTTGCTGTAATGTCTTTCCTCACTCTAAATATAAATTCAATTTTGAACCTAAATTATATTCATAATTTTATATTCTTTGTCAAGTCATTGCAATTTTTTTGCTCATTGTTTTCCTTTTAACTTATTTTTTTATGTATTGACGTTTATAATTTTTTTAAGAGAGATTTCTTGCTATAGGGCATGTGTGCTCCCTGGAGAGACAGAGACAGAAAGTGAGAAATCACCCCCCCAAGAGGGGATAGCTACACCACAATCCATTCTCCTCCATTCTCTTCTCGGGATCAGGATCTAAAGCATGCATGTACAGGCACCTGGCATGAGTTTTAAATTGCCCGGTCCAGGACTTGAACTGTGGTTGACTACTTGGGAGTCAAGCAATGTAATCATTACACCATCTGCTGGTCCCAATGTTTATACTTTTTATACAACAAAATCTGTCTTTTATGGTGTTTACTTTTGTAACATGCTCAGAAAAACCCTTCTATAGTACATAAAACTGTGGGGCACTGATTTTGAAAATGAAGGTCTTTCTTGCTGAGATAGAAATACCTGAATTTCACTCAAGAAATGGAAAATGTGGCCAACTTTGCAGTTCAAGTCCTGGATCTGATAGTGTGATACACACACTGGGCATGTGTGGGTGCATAACCAAAATCCTGAGAGGAAAGTGGAGAAGGGATTGGGGCATAGCCAGCTCCTCTGGGAGTGATTTCATACTTTCCTCTTCTCTGTGTCTCTCCAGTGAGTATGCATACCCTTGTAGCAAAAAATGGAAAAGAAAAAGAAAAAGAAAGAAAGACAGAAAGAAAGAAAAAAAGAAAGGAAAGAAAAAGAAAGACAGAAAGAAAAAGAAAGAAAAAAGAAAGAAGAAAGAAAGAAAGAAAGGCTGGCTACTAAGTATAAGATCAATATACAAAAGTCAATTTTTATTTTTTATTTCTACCTCAAAAACCTAGATCATAATACAATTTTTTTTGAGAGAGAGATTTTTGCTATAGGGTTCCTGAGCTTGCCAGAGAGAGACAGAAAGTGAGAAATTACCCCCTGAGGGGGGTGGCCATTTTGTAATCCCTTCTCCTCCATTCTCCCCTTGGGATTTTGGGCACACATGCACACATGCTCAGTGTGAGTTTTAGGCTGCCAGATCCAAGACTCGAACTGCGGTTGACTATGTGAGAGTCCAGTAACCTAATCATTATGCCATCTGCTGGTCCCAGGTAGTAATACAATTTTTAAGGGAGATTTTTTGCTATAGGGTGTGTGCACTCACCATAGAGACAAAGAGAGACAAACAGACAGAAAGTGAGAAATCGCCCCCCGGGGGGGGGGATGGCCATGCCTCAATCCCTTCTTCTCTAGTCTCCTCTCTGAACCTTGGGCATGCACGCACATGTGCCTGGGTCTGGGACTCCAACCATGATTGACTATGTGGGAGTCCAGCAACGTAACCATTACGCTATCAGCTAGTCCCAATAATACAATTTTTAAAAAGACGCCAGAGATTAGTAATACCAGGTGCTGGGAATGAAGAAAGTATTTGACTACAAAAGGACAACACAAGGGAATTTTTAAGGAAGATGGAACTAGTCTATATCTCAATTGTGTTGCTTATACATCTGTATGCATTTGTCAAAATGTGTAGAATTAT